CCCCCCCCCGCCCCCCCCCTCCCCTGGTTCATGAACAATGACGCTCCCCCTTGCGGCCGAAGACGGACATGAGCACCTTCTCCGAGGCCCACCCGGAGTATTCTGCGGGGCTCCTCAGCTTCGTACTGGAGTACATGACCTTCACCTTCTGGCCCACCAACAGCTTCATCCCGCAGGCAAACGTATGCCAAACGAGCTGTTCCACGGGACAAAAGAGGTTCTGCGGGTGCACGTGCATGATCGACGCCTTTGCCATCGACGACGAGCAGGTGGGGTGGGTGGGTGGGTGGGTTGGTGGGTGTTGGTACTACGGCGCCCCTGGCAGACGGACGGCAACTCGGTGCGATGTTAAATTTCTGCAATTTGGCATGCTCATGAGCGCACGACTCTGACCGCGTTGCGAGCGTCTCCTTGGATCGCCCTTGTTCTGAAATGATACTATTGCTGTGTATTTGGTCGGAAATTGTTGGCACTTGGTTTTGTGAAGGGGGGCGAGACAACTGTTTCGCGGCCTCGAGTACAATCGCACCGAGCATGTTAGATGTGCGCATGCTGACGAGGGGAAAAAAAAAATCCCTAGGACAAGATTCATTCATTGGCGCGAACGGTGTTTGTTCACAGCTACAGTACGACAACTGCTGCTAACCTTTGAGGCTCTCCCGGTGACCGACACTAAGTCGAAGTCCTCGCTGGTTTCGAACCAAGGACCCGTTCGTAGCGCACACGCTGGATACAAACGGTCTGCGGGCAGGTGTTGGTGGGCACGACGCCATGCACCCCCCACCACACCTACCTAAACAAAGGAACGCGCACTCGAAATCTTCTACACGAGTAGTCTTCGCGGCTGCTCCGTTTGCACAACATGGGTGGAAAGCGAGCAATTTCGAAGTATTGATTTTCCGGCCGATTGACATTCGAAACAATCGCTGACCCGGGGTGGTTGCGTTTCACGGCAACTCATTCTGCCGACGCCAAAAATGAACTCGTTGGTGCCATCCGTGAGTACAACCCCCGCTCCCTCCAAATAAACGCCAGTTTCCCTCACCCCGCCTCTTCGAGGAGAAGGGACAACCCACGTAGGGTCGGGGAGCAGCGGATAGGTAGATCATCACATCATGGAGCAAGCATGCACCGACCGTCTTGTCCTACCGATCCCTTTGGGTAATACATGTTCCGATCGCCTAGGCATCCTGCCGATGACCAGGGGCAGACGTGATCAGATCGCTTACATTCATACGTCCTGCCGATGATAAACAACAACAAATGTTAATTCAAATATCTTGTTCCATGGCGTTGGGGGGGGGGCTGCCTCCAAAGGCTGTTTACTATTCATAATATTTGTATCTGTCGTCGCCAACTAGATGTATGTATCTCAATCCTATGTACGATTCGATAATTCTAAAGTTATTTTCCCGATTTCGATTCTCATTGCTGCCGCTCCAATTCATTTTTCATGCAGGTCTACGCCTACATGGAGGACTTCATGACATCAGCGAGCGTTAAGTTTCAGGGGGACCAGTACATTTCGTACGACGGCGACGTTCGATTCCCGTACGGGTTCATGCAGGCGAGAACGCGTGGTTGTTTGAAACTTCTACGCTGCTGCTGTGGCTACTGCTGTGGCTGCCGCTGTGGCTGCCGCTGTGGCTGCTGTTGTTGCGACCGGGATGGGACCGCTGTCAGTTAGAGTTGTTCCTGCTACCAGTGTTGACGAAACACAACACGTGGCTCGTTCTTCCTCTTGAAGGTTGGTCAACAGTGATCGCATAGGGGATAAACTCACTAGCGAACACAACATTTAATGGTCAAGTCCGTACATCACAATATTTCAAGCCGCCGCCTCGGCTCGAGGAAATTCACCGCCAGGCTACTGTAGTACAATGTATGCACTTGAGGGAGCCCATGCTTGGCGGTGCCGACGGGTCCACGAAAAAAGCCTCGATCCACCCTTGACGTTTGTCAGGCTCGGGCCCGGCCCCCACCCGTGCAAGGTCCAAGGAATTTGCCCGGCCAGCCTTGCATCTGACACGAATACTCATGCTTTGAGATGATACGTTATTCGCGGCCCTCCCGTTTGTTGAGCATGTAACGTAGACGACCCAGATCCACGATGTGTTGTTCCCTTTCCTCCCTTTATCTGAGCAACTGTCTGAGTAACCAACTAATGTAGAATAGACAACCCCACGTCGTCTTTGTACCCTCCTTCCCAGGACCAAAACCGCCTCAGCGATGAGGAGAACCTGCTGCTCATGCGGTACCTCATCAAGATCGGGTGTGAGCCCGGCGCCGTGGGATCTATGATGACCCTCGCCAGCCCATTAGACCCGGTGCGTGTTGTGCTTATTGGGGGTTACTCTTTGCCGTTGCCGTTGCTATTGGCTGACGGGGGTACTTGTAGTCGTGCATGCCGTACAGTGGGCATTCAACCATTGACCTCGCATCCATACAAAGCCGAGACGGAGCAGGCCGGGTTCTCACCGGACCAGGCTCTCACATCACCAGGCGGGAAGCGCCGGGAGGCATTGACTGAGGGGGGCGGGGTGTTTATCTCCCCTCTTGCCAGCTATTTGTGCCCTTGTTCCCATCGCGCTTGTCTGGACTTTCTGGGATCCTTCACATCTTTTCATTGGGTACATGTAGTTGGCCTCTAGTGACCAAGGAAGGCGATCGCGTTATTGTGACTGGTGCAGGTGTTGGGACGTCTAGTCTAAGCAGAAACGGTAACGATTGTCGTAACGTGAAGACAACAACAACGACACCGTAATCCTCGTGAGTCTTGTTTGGTGTTGCTTCGGCTAGCTCCGTGAGGGGCGGTTGGTGATTCTCCCCCGGCGTTGCGAGTAGCCTACATCGGTGTCGCGTCGCGAGAAGGAAATATGAAGATTTTTCTCGTGTGAAAGCATGTCATCCCTACACCTGCCCCACTCGCCAGTCAGGAATTTTCATCCCTAATTACTTTCGGAGGTTATTTCTGCGCGTGTCGTTTGGGCGGAACACCATGCACCGACGGGTTTTCCTATTGGCGCCGAAAAAACATTGCATTTCACGGTCCTGACTTGTACCTTGACCTCCGTTGGTGTCTCCCTCTTGATGCTCTGCACCGAAGATTCTTGCTCGCCGGTATATCGACAAGAAGTTCCTTGCCCTTGCCTTGTCAGCCCCCAGCCACTCCCAAGGCAAAAAGGGTTTCACTGGTTTTGATGTCGTCACCCTCATCGTCTAATGGCTTTTGCAAAACCAAACAACAACCAAAATTGTGTTGTCAACGCCTCCCCTTCGCTGACTTCCTTCACATCCTAACGAATCGTCGTTCGGGGTGTGTGTGGCGCGCCCCATGAATCGAGGCGTGCTTGCAGTAAGTAGCTCAGGCAACTTCATATGTTTCTTCTTTCATAGAGTTGTCGCTGACGTAACCCACCCCACCCTACTAGGCTCACCCCCCCTCCCTCCGTTGCTGCCGTTCGGAGTGGGCTTGATGGTTCCCCTGAATCGAACGGTCGCGTACAGTACCTCAGCAGAAAAAGATTAATCATCGGATCGTCGTGTTTTTCTAGGTTCCCGCTGAATTCCTCCCTTCCCCCCCTTTCCCCATACAAAATGCGTGCAGCTGTTTTACATGCTTCATTCCATGTTCGAGAAAGCGCTGCACATCTTGTGGCTTTCGCCGAAGTACCGCGATTCGTTCTCCATGGACTGGGCGGAAGACGGGCTCTGCCCCGGGAGCGGATACACGGACGAGCTCCCTTTCACGGGTGGGTTTGTTTTTCGGTGTCACCGGTTCGTCAAACACAGAACGTTCACGTTTTTGTTCGGTTTTTGGTGTCGATGGCCGTCGAACAGAAGAGGTCTCGTTTAGTTTGTGGCCTTGACCGTTCGTCGACTAAAAGACGTTTCGTTAGGTTTTTGTGTCGACGGTTCGTCGAAAAGAGGACGTTTCGGTACGTTTTTGGTGTCGATGGTTTGTGTACAAAAGGCGTTTCGTGTTCCTGACGGCCAACCGTGTGGCCTCTCGAGGCAGCCTCCTTCGACACTCAACAAACTAAATGGCGAAAATATCACCTCGCCAAACGAAATGCCGCCGGTCATGATTCCGCGGCGTTAAGGCCAAGTGAGACATAAGCCCGACCGAGCCGCTGCAGGAGACAAATGTGTTGTCTACAAAGGTGGTCGGTCGTCGCGCTTGTCGACCGTTGGTGCGACCTCAACGCCTCTCGCTGACGTCTCTCCGCTTCGCCTCAATCTGAGACGACCGGTGTTGAAGCTTTTCGCCCCTATATCGATGAGAGGGCCGGGTCGGCTGATCATCCAAAGAATGGCACTGTCTCACGGCTGGTTGTTCTTGTGGAAGAAAATATCATATCGTTTATATCTGTCTCCAACTCTCCATAGCCTTTTTTTGGCAAGTGTTGCCGTTTGGCACCGTACAGACCGCTGCTTAGTACCCAGTACGAGGGGGGGCACCGTCGTATTATGTACGCCGAGTGCGCCTCCTTGTCATGTCTGCGCCGCCTCCCACACGTACCCAGCCTCGCCGACATTCGATCTACGTGCTGCTCTGCCAGCCCTTCCGGTTGTGACAACGCCCTGATCGGGAAGGTTATTACTGTAACTGAAATCCGATGCCCCACCGCCGTTGATATGTATATGACATTGAGTCCGGGAGTTTCTCTCCCTCTTGGTATGTGGTGCATGAAGTCTGCTGGCTTGTCACCTGTCTGAACAACAACCGCACAAACGAAGCGGGCTCCCACCATGAAGTACGCCAAGCCTCCGCGCCTGCACGTGTGTACGTGTCGCGGACGCATCACCCCCCTCGCTTATTTGTCATCGCGAAACATACGCACATCCGGCCCATCGCCCCGTCCCGACATTATAAGGATGAGGGACCTACATCGTCTACCTACGGCATAGCACTTACATGACCTCACCTTGTCGTCTCTTCCGTGGCACAGAGTACTTGTTGGGCCTGGGAGAGGGGACGGCGTTCATGACGAACGAGCGCCTCTTGGAGCTCTTGCACCCGTCGAACCCGGCCGTGCCGTACATCTACGAAGATTTCGCCAGGTGGGGCACGAGTGACTTGGAGCAGTGGGACCCGTACAACACCAAGAACGAGGGGTTTCCGCCGCCGTCGGAGAAGAAAGGGGAGCGCCGCGGGAGTGAATAGCGTGTTTGACTACTTGGTCCTGCTGCAACAACGTGACATTTGTCGTATTCGTCTTTGGGGAAAAACCAACACCACTTCAAATGGAGAACTATGCATTTCATGCGACCTTGTGAGATCTCTAGACTATCTCAGCAGGGTAGGACGTTTATTACATATTTAGTCGTGATTTTCGTGGTGTTTGAGGCCCACGACATATACCCGTGGCGTTTTCCCCCCTCACCTCCGAAACCCGCATTTCATGGGCCAGGAGTAGGCCACCCGTTTAATCTCCGTATTATCAAGTGAAAGGATTGCGCGCCGACTAACTTGTATTGCTTGTAAAAAGGAAGTGTTTCACTAGCTGCAGCGTGAGCGGACCAGAGCACCTGCATAGAAATTTGGTCGTTGCGTGTGTGTTTGAGTCTCTAGGTGAAGGAATTTTCCCTTTATCGGTCGTTGTCTGGGTGAATGAGTGCATCTCGTCGCAATATTTTTTCCATGCTTGTGTCTACGACTGCCGAATCCGAGGCGTTGTCTCTCACCACTTGTGTGCAAGATCGTGTCTTCCCCTCTTGTTTTCACGTGGTACGCATCATCGTAACCTGTCTCTTTACGTTCATGGTGTTGTTGGATCGCCCTGCAACGCCTTCGAGAAGATCGCGCTCGTTTTCCCGGCGGGGTGGGGGATTCCACGTACTCCAAGTGCCTTAGACCTTCGTGATGTTTGTTCAGGCCCGACCGCTCCGTTCGGGAACGTGGGCTGGGAAGAGATGGGTGTGTTCTTCTAAGCATTCGTCGCGTGCAAGTGTTTCTGTTCTGAATTGTACCCTCTTCTCCTGTTTTGGGTTTCTCGGCAAAACCTCTGGGAGCCTTCCCTGTGTCATGGTCGCTACGTTGATTCCTTCCGTTGACTCGTCTTTATCGGATTCTTCCGCATACCTTGGAAGTGCGGCCAATCGAGTTTGGGGCTTGGGACGATCGACGTGTTCGCAGACTCATGTCGTGGGGCAGAGACCGAAAGTTCCTCAGTGGACACGCGCGAAACAAAGCCTAAAGTAGTGGTAGCCCTCGTTGTACCAAGTTGGTAATCCCCATCGAGCCAAAAGGACATTGACCGTGACAACATCTTGAATTGGACATGCTTTTGTACGTGGTGGATACATTTGTCACGACGGGAACTTTTACTCTTTCATTGTGCTTCGTAATGAATTGAATGCTTAATCGTCATCTCTTGTAGACCACGTGCGATAGAAAAGGCGGTACCGGATGACACGCAGGGAAGGGTTTCGCAACAGATGCTGGATTGGGCGTGTATCAGAGACGACACCCAAACTTGTCAAGGAACACATTGTCTAATGTTAAAATATTCACATTTTTCATTTGGGCCAGCAGTTCTGCATAATGTTTTAATTTATTTTGGCTGTGCGTGGGGGAAAGACGATTGTATCGTACGGAGAAAAGGGGTGTCGCTGTCCTTTCCACCGTTTTCTTCGTGTTTCATTTTCTAGTCAGCTTTCTTGGGTTTCCCGCTCTTGGACCCGGCTAGGCTCTCCCCCTCGCTCTCTCTTTTTCTCTTCGTCTTCGTCCGGTCGACTGTAAGCGTCGGCCAAAATTCATTGGATCTGGCTAAATTTGGTAACATTTTGTGTACTAGGGTAGGCGACCGCCCGCCGATAAGGCGGGACGGTCACCTAGAACAACAACCTTTGCCATTGTGTGATTCGCCATGCATTGGCCGAGACGGACACGGCGGCAACGAGTTGAGCGGAGAAGGTCGTAATGTTCATGTAGCTTATTCCGGAACGATTACTTTGACGCAATGTACTTCGCAACAAGTACTTTGGCGTTAATAGAATGTTGGCACCATCGCAGTTGGAATATTCGAAAATGACGTACGCTAAAGGAGAAGCCGAAATGAACGCGGAACGTTGGAAACGCGCATGAAGAAATACACCGCAGAGAAACCAATACTCAGTGTAAGTTACTGTGCGGGTAACGATCGGACCATGGTTTGGCCATGCTTCAGAAAATGAGCTAAGCGCAAAATGCAACCTGCTGCCAATATACATACATGCGCGTCGGTAGCTGCTGCCGAACTGCAAAACACGGCACATCAGCTATGTGAGTATATATACTGCTGCATGCTGGTACACACACCGATATTTGTGTGGTCTTACAGAGACTGAAAACTACGTTATTGGCGCTGAAACTTGCTCATTGTTGCCACCCTGACTTGCTCATCGTTGCCACTCTGAACGTTTGGTCCCGGTCAACACCAAAGACCTTGTGAACTGTTCAAGATTCTTCAAAATGTGGTCGTGCATGTAGCGAAAAATGAAATGAAAGTACATTGGAGGTAGATCGAATATCCTACTTATCGCAGACTTGCGTGGTCTCGATGTAAAGAGGGTTCGTCTTATCGACGAGGAAGCATCCTTGACTGTTCGTCGTCTACGCGCTAACTCATTCCGTGTCCACGTGACTCCTGGTGTGTTGTTGCGAGAGGCGACACATACTACATGAAAGTGGGCGTGATGACAGAAGCAGCTTTACGTTGTTGGTTTGTCGATCTGGATGAGGTAGTTGGTGGCACACCTAGAGGAACGTGTGATAAACGCAGCTTGATGTTGTTGGTTTGTCGATTCGGACGAGAGGTAGTTTAAATAGTTGGTGCGAAAAACATATGAACCTTTGGGGCACATGCGCGGAGGGTTGTGCGCGGAGTAACCGTTGTCGTTCCGGAACTTATTTTTGAAATGATGTGTTCGATGATCTGATTGGATGAAAATGCGGTAAGATTTTCCGTTGAAAGGCGATTCCGCTGCATGCATAACGTGCCACGATGAGCATCTTTCCACAAAAACTCGAAAACCATACAGGTAGCCTTTCGCTCACGATATGGATTCATTGCTAATCTATCTTAGAATTATTTCTATAGATGGAGATGGATTTGTTGTGTGATATTAACCCCTTCGGGTCTAGTCTAGCCCTTAGACTATTTTTTTTCGGCGAAAAAAAAATTGATAGGAGAGAACGCGGGAGAAAGAGACAGAAGAACAGCAGAAAGAGAGGTGTGTACTTCTGAAGTACAGCAGAAAGAGAGGTGTGTACTTCTGTAGTCGGAACAGCTAACTCCACCCATAGGCCATGAAGACTGCCCGCGACAGGACGGTGGGCACATGCAGGGTCATAGAAGGGTTGATGTGTGGTAGCGGTGCGGCCGGTGGCGCAGGTTAGGCTTGTAGACCTCGAAAAGATCAGTCGTCAAGCAGCCTAAACTAGTCTATTTTCAATGTATTCAAATGATCAGTGAAAATGACCAGTGAGAGGGCTTATAGACCCATAGCTGGTTCCTGTACTTCTGTAGTCTACTTCTCTGTCCCCTCCCCCATATGAGCCCTGCCGGCTCACTACAGCTCCTGTGATTTTCCCACAATTTCCGCAAGCACGCAGGCACACCACAGCACACACCTACCTTTGAATCAGTGGCTCTCTAGGTTAGGGCGAGGGCACGTGTAGGGCTATGATGATAGTGTATGTGTTACTACAGCAGTACTGTATGCTGGACTCGTCTATACTGCTGCTGCTGTATAGTATAGCTGCTGACACGATGGCTGCTGCTGGATCTTGGGAGTGTACGATTTTCAAATTTGGAGGACATGCAGCATACCACGATAATATCCTGACCTGGTTGGGCTTGAAGTGCCCCTATTCGCTGTCATCCTGTCTTTCCTTGAGTGGCTTCCTAGATTCGGGCGAAGGCATGTATGTGGAGCTGTTGATGTGTGCCTCTGTGAAAGGATATGGCGAGAGATTCATAGTGGCATTTGCATATATTATAGAGCAGTGTACATTTTTCGAATTTTGGCCGTTCCAGGGACCTGATAGCTGGACTGCTGTGACGTCATTGCATTGGTCACCGGGTAGCGCGGTCGATACGAATAATATAAACACACCTACCTATTGACTTACCAACACCTGGCGTGGAGGGATACAGGGCAACGACTCCATGGCATGCCACAACACCATCATTTGCAAGTGATCAATCAATGATCAGTCAGGACGCCTGTAGACCCAAAAGGGTTAAGAAGAAAAAAAACTATACCTAACCTACAGTCCCGTGGACTATTAGGACCGAACTGGCGACAAAAAAGAAAACCCGCACGCATGCATCACGCACGTGCACCAAACACACACCACCAAAAAACACAATCCTGGGGAGAGGGAGAACGACAGAGAGGTCTGTAGGACAGCAACAGCAATACCCATGTCTGCACAGGGCGACGACGAGTTTGCGCTGGACCCCAGGGCCCCGCAAGCACAAGCGGGGCCAGGTGAGAGGCAATCACACGGGGGTTCCTTCGCGTCGCAACCACACAGCATTGCTGGACAGCCAAACAGCAGCAGCAGTGTTGGTGTGAGTCGACAGGGTCCCGAAGCAATGCATGTGGGCATCAGGCCGCAAGGGATGCCGGGGTTCCACCCCGCGGCTTCGAGCGCTAGCTACTGTCACCCGGTGCTGTTTTTGCTGGTGGGGCTGCTTCTGGTGCTCCTCCTCCTGGCGCCGTCCCTGTTCCTCGACACTCGTATCTTTTCGAGAGTCGAGTGCCCTTGGGTTTTCCGGGCGTGGTCCAACAGCCACGCGTGCAGTATTTTGGGCAGCAGCAGCAGCAGCAGCAGTAGCAGCAGCAGCAGCAGCAGCAGCAGCAGCAGCAGCAGTTTCTTCCTCAGCAAGGTGGTGCGCCGCGTCACCCGGGAAGCCCTTGAAGCGCAGGAATCCCCATCGCCCTGGAAACGGAAACCGGTTCGTCGCCTCCTTGTTCGTCGCCGCCGCCGGTCATCGGAGGTAAAACGTCGCCGCTTGTCGTGATAAGTTCTCCAGGAGGTGGTAGCACAGCTGCTGGTGGTGTTCCCGAGGCGGACGGTGGCATTCACACGGCATTCTCTCCTCCACCCGGAAGGATCATCGTCGGCAAGACCACACCGGAGAAAGGAAACCCGAATGCGAAGCCGCTGTATCTTGCGCAGCACACCAGGACCCCCACAAAAGTTTGGCGGGACACAGACAACCCTCCAAACTACGCGGACCATCATGTGGGGCCACTCCGAAACGAGGTGTGTACAAAACATTGAATTGCTGGTGTTGGACAAGTGGTTGCTGTTGGTTCCGTACAAGTAAACAAAATAACAGCAGACGCTCCTGAGACTAGAGGAGGCTTGTATACCTTTCGCGGTGGCGTCCGTCTGTCGTTCGTGTAGAAACTATTTTCAGCACATCGGAAGGCATCATAACATGCGTGCGATGCTCAGAACTGCTGTGGCACCTTCCCGCGCGACAGGAAGCACGAAGAACAGAAACGAACCGCTTTCCGTGTGCATAGGTGTCGACGAAAACCAATCTTTTAGTCCACGCGTCCATGCGAAGGTTTTTGCTCGTATTGCTGATGTAACAATCGGGCGAGAGGTGTGGAAGACACCGTCAATTTCCTGCAGTCTGCATACGTGGTGAAAAAAAAGTTCTGGAGCCGTAGACGAGCCCATACGATGGCCACCACTTACTGCTATAGGCACTGCATACACGTGTGCTGCATCACCCGTGATACAGATACGGTGTTCCTCGCGATTTATTCTTTGGGGTGAGGGAGGGATATGGCATGTCTGACACATGGGCATTATATAGATGCGCTACACCTCAAAACAATATGCCTCGCGCACCACGTACGTGTGTTTCCGCCAGTTTGATGTTGGTCGTACTCTTGAGAATGCATGTTCGGGGTTACTGTAAAGCCAGTGTCGAAACGCTCGGATTTCTAAACGCTATTGCCGATACAAAACAACGACTAATGGAAACCATCCTTCCTTCGAATCCCTTCTTCCCTTCGGTTTCGGCATTTTTCTTCCAGATCATCGCCGTGAGCGTATGGACCGCTTGCGAAGTCAAAGCGAAGGCAAGGACACGACGCTTCGGATCGCGAGAGGCAGCGGCATCGGAGGTCTCTTCACGAAGGTTTCGACGGCGAAGAAAGACGCGCTTGTCGCGGCGTTGGTGTCACGCAACAAGTACGTCGAGGACGACCTGGGGGAGCAGCCGCAATGGCGCACGATGATGGCAACTACCCCGGAAGGCGCGCGCAAAAAACGCGAGCGAGAGGCAGTCACAACGTCGTCGTCTGCGGCGAAGGACGCCACTCCGAAGTTCATGAAAGAGGACCAGGTCCGACTGGCAATTATCATGATGGGCGGAACCATGATTGAAAACACACTCGCATCCGAGCAGAGCCCGGAGTCGGTAGCAGACTTCACACACCAGAAGGGAGCAGGCAAGAACGTGTACCGGGAAGCCGCGCGCGCCTTCATGGAGTCGAGCACCAACATCGAACTCCTGGCGGAGATCTCTACCGCCCACGGGGACCCGGCGGACCTCGTCGAAAAGTGGCAGAGCATCGACGCCAAGGCGCCGGCGGCCAAGTATCCTGCTATCTGGACCGCAGCGGCGAAGGCGACGAACGAGAGGAACAGGGTGGAAGCTGAGGGGGGGACGAAAGGGAAAGGGAAGGCGAAGGACACGGGCGGGGAAGAGGCTGCGATGACCGGGAGCACGAAACCTGGGAGTGATGGGAGGGGCGGCGGCAGCAGCGGCAGCGACAGGGGGGGTGCGAGCAACGGCAGCAAGCAAACTCCCAAGATGCCGAACTGGTGAAGCCGGAGGATCGACGTTGATGCACAAGCAGTGGAAGAGCATCAGAAGGAACTACCGGGTAAGTGGGCGTTGTACTGTCCAGGGCTATGACGGCCTAGTTTTTTTTTCTTTCGCCCACTGTAGCGCATGCAACGTGACCCTTGAGTGCGAACCACCTGTGTGTTGTTTCGGTTGTAGGAGATGGCGTTTTTTTTTCTCGACCGTTGTTGTGCATGCAGCGTGACCCTTGAGGGCGAACCACCTGTGGTGTGTTGTTTCGGTGGTTGGAGATGGCGCCTTTTTTTCTTGTCTCGATCGTTGTACTGCACGAAGCGTGACTCTTGAGTGCGAACTACCTGTGTGTTGTTTCGCTGGTTGGAGATGGCGTTTGTTTTCTCGACCGTTGTAGTGCATGCAGCGTGACCCTTGAGGGCGAACCACCTGTGTGTTGTTTCGGTGGTTGGAGATGGCGCTTCTTTGTTTTTTCTCGACCGTTGTACTGCGGGCAACGTGTAATCCAACTCCCCGGCGTTCCTCTTGCACCCGTTCATGGCGTATACGCCACTTGTTGTGTCTTCTCGCATGCACTGCTGCAGGCCAAGCAAGAAGAGGAGGACAAAACTGGTGGCGGGGGCACACAGCAAGACGACGACGACAACGACCACGAGTACAGTAGCGATGACAGCACGGGCGGCGGTCGCGGCGACGACGAGAGCAACTCCCATGCATGGACGTACTGCGAGGGGAAAGTGGTGAACTACGTCGTGCACCTGCTCATCGAAAGCGGTGGCGGTTTTGTTGGCGACATGAAGGACTACTTTTCGGCAACGCTCGACGACGACATGTGTCTAGACACGCTGGCCATAGACGTTGATTCGGATTTGGGGATGGACTCTATGCACGAGGCATTTGCGGGGGGCGGGGGGTCAGCCGGCGAAAACCATGCAGAGGCGGCGCGCAAAAAACGTAAGAGCAGGGACAGGAGAACCTCGAGGGAGGAGGAGAGCGACAGCACTTTTTTGAAGGGGATGGAAAACTTTTTGAAGGCGAGTGGGCCGAAGCAATCACTCGACAAGCTTGGAAAGACCCTGGCATCCCTAAAGCTTATGCTAAAGGAAGTCAAAGAAGAAAATGTGGACGCCGACACGATAGAAATTTACGAAAAAGCCATCAAGAAAGCGAAGAAAGAATTTCAAGAAGCGATAGATGCTTAGATTGTACCGAGATACGTCGTGATGTACGCCTATCATTAGGTTTTCGTTGGGGGGGGTGCAAGTGCCGCTCTATGCGGACAAGCGTCGAAGGGTGTGATTCCCTTTTCTGTAGCGGTTTCCTCCGATATTTTGTGCGTTGGCGAAGAGATGCAAGGCGGGTTGCTCTGTCTGGTTATTCCGTGTCCTTTTCTCGGGGTGCGTCGTCGCTTTCATCATGTTGGTTTTCGCGCGTCTATGTACGCCTTTGGCTATCAATGGCGTTTCTAATTTCCCCCTTGTGGGGAGGGCGCCACTCGGCTGATGAGGGCCGCGATAAAGAATATATAATTGTCTCTACAACGTCTGCTTCTCCGGTTTAACTTAGTCCCCGGCCCACACACCTCTGACGGTGGAACGTACGTATTTTTCGGAAAAGTTGAACATCGAACATCGAATAAGCGGATAGTTCGATGTTCGACTCTTTGAGTCCATCGTAATCCGCGAGAAAGCGTGACAAAAAACCCACACACACGCGTTTTTCCTTCCAACAGCCCGCTGGTCATCGACAGTTGCGTTCATCACACACCACACCACACACAACAACAGCAGCGGGCCTTCATCGCCCTCATCGACAGTTGCGTTCATCACACACCACACCACACACAACAACAGCAGCGGGCCTTCATCGCCCCAGAAAAAAGAAAAATGTTAAGAGTTTTCGACGGAATTGTGGACGTTCCGGCGTACAAATACTCGAAAACCCCAACATCTCTTTTAACTGGCCAACACACCGCTGAACACACGAGCATACATAACCGAAACAAAAAAGGGAATGCTCGAGCGCGTGTACCAAATTACGAAGCAAACCCCGCAAACGGTACATCAATTAGACGAGCGTCGGCAAAATTGTACGTGCCGCAGCGTGCTCTCAACACCGAAATCAACCACGGAAATCCCTGATCCGCTCGATGCAAGCGCAGCCTAACCGCATACGTCAAAGTCCCTTCTTCTGCTCAACATATACGCATGAGCTGCCACATCATTCCTGGCGCTGCTGGATCTTCTGGCGCTGATTTGACGTGGAAAAAAAAAGCAATACATACATACGCAGCCCACCCAAAACAAGACAAAATGCGACCAACAAAATGACACACGCATGACAAAGCAAGGCTTGAGTTGCCAATCCCGAAATGACTTCCAGCGTTTACTTGTAGTCTACACCAGCGGTGTTCTATTGATCACGCCTGCGATGTTGCGCCTTGGGCGTTTTGTGCGTTGTTCCTCGCGATGTTGTGGTCGGGGCGGCGGAGGTTCTTGCGGGTGATGTAGCGGAGCACCTCGTTGGGTGCTACCGAGCTCGCGTCAGCACCTGATGCTCCGATAGCAGGGGTGGCCCACGCCTCGTCCTCCAGCGTGTTGCTCTCCGTCATCGCTAATTGGCCCGGGAGGTCCGGGGCGTCGTCTTTTTCCAACCGCACGAAGTTGTGAAGCCTCACAACAGCGTGTAGTACCCTCGTCGTGTGCTTTAGCGGCACCGAAAGCGGTCGCCATAGAATCCCTCATTGCTTCACCTGTCCACGGAAAACAAGGGAGAGCGTACAATTAAGTGTGTTTCGTGGGATGTGCAAACCTCAACATGTCACGTACTCTCCTGTCGCCTCCTCGGCATGTCTTCACACAAATTGCCGCGGGTGCACGACACAGCTCACTATTGAACTCACCATGATGCCGAATGCCTGTTCGATTGCCATGCGGGCCGATGATTGGAAGTAGTTGAACGCGTCCTTGTGTGGCTGGTCGGGAATAAGAGACCCTGGAAACGGAACAAGAACCTTGTTCGATGACGGGTAAGCCGCGTCTCCGATGAGGTAGAACTTCCCGGGCAGCGACGCGGCAAGGGCGGCGAACCCCGACGTTCTCCAAGCAGTACGATCGTTCATGCTCGCGGGCAGGTTGATGGAGACGGCCGTAAATACGAAGTTCGAGTCGCAGATGGCCTGTTTCACGACAAAGACCGGAACAAGACGCGGGCGAACGCAACGAGGCGACAGGTATACGGCTGGCAGGTACTACCACATCACCCGTGTATCAAATTTGCGGGCTTACACATCCTTCAGACGCAAACGGGAGGAAGAACAAGAAACACCGCTGATGTTGAATCTCGAGTGGGTGTTGCGCGATGCGACAGAAAATTTCCCAAGACAATCTGCGTCGGGTTCACTATAACTTTTGGCCTTGTAATCGACGGCCGAAGTGATAGTCAATTACTGTAAGTATTATTCCCTACAGCATACCAACAGGAATACGGGCAGGGTTGTGCAGAGGACGTTTTGTAATTTTCGAAAGTTTTTGTACTCGAGCAGCCCCATTTCAACTACTGCTGTTCGTATCACACCTGCATGTTGAGCCCGACACACTTCTTGTGGCCAGAGTAAAAGCGGTCAGGGCACACGTGCTCCCGCTTCCCAGGCTTCTTCATCTTGATCGTGATACCATCCACCGCCCCGAGGCACCGCCTGATGATGTACTTCAGGCTCTTCTCTCTGAAACCGGCCGCGACCTTCCACCTCTCCTCCGCCATGCGCGGCCAGCGTACCCGGAGCCTCCGGCATTCGTTGATCGCGTCCAAAACAGCACCCACCAAAGCGAACGCTGCCGACCTGCTGCACCCAACAACTCTCCGCACCTCGTGCATGCTCCCGCCAGCAAACCACCGCAGGCATCCGAGAAGGGCCATGCCGGGGTGGTTTGGACCGTTGTGGGTCATGCCTCGACTCCGATTTGCTTTGTGCAGACGGGGGTGCAGCATTCCGTACAGCTTCTTGAAAGACGAAGACGACATGCGGAAATTTTGTGCGAAAGTCCCGTCCTCTATCAGTGGTTTCACTGTTTCTCCCCACTTGCTCCTGGCTCTACGGGTATATCCGGCCCTTGGCGGAAACTTCAGGCGTTTCTCCCGTCGCTTCTTCAAGAAACGGCGGGCACAGCAGATGACGACAACCCGACTCACAGACTGCTGCCACAGCTCCGCTGACTCTTGCTCCTCGTCACATGGGTCCATGCCTACAACTGCGGCCAGACAGCACGCAGCGTACAGCCACCACCAGCCCATTCCCCATCGCATCTTTCCGGGGCGATGAAGGCCCGCTGCTGTTGTTATGTGTGGTGTGTGATGAACGCAGCTGCATCAACAGGACTGTCAACCCCGCGGGCTGTTGAAAGCAAAAACGTGTGTGTTTTATTATTTGCATCGACCGCGCTAACCTGCTGACCATTGAAAAGACGTTGTTCGTGTGTCTGGATACGAGCATGGTAGATCTGCTAGCAGCACGGGGGGGTACGTAGACAGGAGCATGCGTATGCCTGAAAAAGGCTACTATGTGTGGGCCCCCTTCCCCGAATTTGGGAGGGCCACTTCTTCCCTTCCTTTCCTCGCTCCCGCGGGTGCCTAATCAGAGAGAGTTAAAGCGTGTCTTCTCCTCCCAAGTACGGACATACCAACACACTAGTGTTTTTTCCCTCGAGGGAGTCCATTAGGGATGGCGAGCCGCAGAACCGGAGGGACCACTCCGGACGGCTCACAGGCAGGAGACACAAATAGCAGCGAGCAGATCGACAGCATGCGGTCTGAGATCAGTTCGCTGGCACAGCAAATGGGCCAGCTGGTGCAAACGGTCGGAGGACTTGCTGCACGTATAGAGGAGAAGTCCGGCGGTGCCACGGAGGGCGCCGCTGAAAGCGGCGGCGCCGTGGAGAGCGTCGCCACAAGCACTGCAGGTCATTTTGGGACCGTGCAGTACGACG